TTTTTGTGTGACATTCTGGTAAGACATCGCTTTCAAGAGACCACTTGCTGCAGCGGCGCCAGTGCCCAAGCTAAGCTCCCAATTGCACGTGGCCACACATCTGGCAGCGGCGCCCTGCAGCAGCACCAGCGCGGCAAGCTCTCAAGCGCACGCGGCCACACATTTGGCAGCAGCACCAGCACTCATTGTAAGAAGTCTCACACATGACACTCTGAGTGGCGCGGTGCAAGCGCACTTCTGGGCACAGAGCCTTCAAGACACCCAATTGTTTACAGACACCCATTGCAAAGCAAATTCCTTTGTTCCCGTCCTGGGCAAAGGAGTAGGTCACAGGATCCTGCAAGCGCTGCTCCATCGGAACCTCAGTGTCCAGGCTCGTCCGCAAAGTCGAGGAAGGCACCGGCGGCAGCTGCTTGCCCAGCAGCGACAAAGCCCCTGAGGCCGGCACAGGGGAGGATGACACATCCGGGTGAGTCTCGGTATCAGGGCGTGAAGCACCTGCCAAGTCTCTCGAATGGTCACCCCCATCCAAGGCACCAGTTTCAGAGGGACTCGCTGACGGAATCTCAGTATCAGGGCCAGAGGCACCTGCCGGGACTCCCGCGTCATCTCCCTGATCCAAGGGGCGTTTGTGGCTGTTGGACACCGCCGATGGGTCCTCAGCCACCGCAGAAGATGCCGTAGGAGGAGAAGCCGAAGTAGGGCTCGCAAGTCCAGCAGAGGCCTCCGCAGGGGCCTGCAAGGAGAGAGAGGTGATGCCACTCACCATCGCCTCCAAGTCCCGCTCCAAGGTCGGCGGGAGTCTTGTCCGCAGGGATCACGTAATCTGCCAAAATGGCCATCTCATCTTGATCAGCTGCAATCTGGGCAGTCTCAGCGGCTGCCACCTCCTGCTCCATGGGATCCGGTCCCAGGATCACGAAATCCTCCGCAGAGTCCAAAAGTTCGAAGTCGAAAAGTTCAGCCATGGCGGCGAAAGTCAGAAAAGAGCGAAAAAGCGAAAGTCGCAAAAGTTCGCAAAAAGTTCGATCTTTGATGGATCAGGGGCTGATCCTTGAGCCAAAATGGCAGGCCATTTTGGCTAATGAAATGTATTGTGGACACATTGTTTGCAATCCGCAAACTCCTTGCAAAACCAAAGTAATCTTGGGAACTTCAAGAGACTTTGGGATCAATGCTTTCGAGGTGGAAGCGTTGGAATGTGTGGGATCGACAAGCCAGACTGAATGATCTTAGACCTACAGTATATCTTTAGGATTTGCCTGTCAAGACATAACAGGCCACCCTGCGCGTCAAGTGGAGTGCCTGAGGAAACAACCACCTTCTCTTTCTCAAAGTCACCCCTCCTGTCATGCAAGGTGCTGATTTGAGGAGAAAGAAGGTCAACAATATGAACAACTGCAAGTCTGCAAGGCCGTTCAAGCATCTTTCGTTCAATCATGTTCGAGCAAAGATATGCCGGCTGTACCCAGCGCCCACCATCTCCATGCTGGAG